TATATATATATATTATCCTTTTTAACATTTCTTTTATTATTTTGTTTTCTTATGCTGATAGAAAACCCATCCTTACAAAATTTCCTCCAAAACAACCCCATTTTGTTTGACCAATGCTGAGAATTTCAGGCTCTAAAGAAAATATTCATTTAAATATTGTTTGGTTCAATGTGAAGCGAACGAGCGATAAATACTATATAGCATGAGAATGAGTGAGTATATATTATTATAATATTATGTCACTATCTTCTTATAGGAAATATTTTTCTGGCTTGCTGAATAAATTTCATGGATTTAGTTCTCCTTGAAATGCATGACCATTTCTAAAATAAACAGAGCATTTAATGCTTCCGACGATCATTATTAAATTTACTTATTTTTAATATACATTAATATTAGCATGCTATACCAAAAGTAAGTTGAATTTCTTCAGCATATTTATGATTCTTTTTTCTCCATTTTCTCCTCTCATTTTACACACAATAGTATGTTAATATAACATATTGAGTCCTTTTAGGATATAGCATCTTGTATTATTCGTGAGCTTACATAACTCGATAAAGATCATGTTTTTATGAGGAGGGTATTGGAGAAGAAGATTGATGTATTGCTAAAGTTCGTGTTTCTCATTTTAATGTTTTCCCATAAGCCCTGAGTAATTGGAAATGGCTCAAAAAAATCATTTTTTTTCCTGGTTATGAGAGAGATGGAGGGAAGGAGTAGTTTTTAGAGGGAGAAAAAGAACTAGAGAGAGAAAACTTCATTCAATTCCCTCTTATCTTTTTTTATATACATAAGTGAAAAAAAAAAATGTAAAATTACATCTAGTACGACATTAGCTCTGGTGGCTAGTTTTCCGTGCTAGTCTCACCACTTCTACAAGTGGACTTAGCGATTTATCGATATATATGGGCTTTCGAGATGCATGAATTCTGATATCTTACCAATGCACAAACCTTTCATAAATACATATGATCGTATTTTGGATACACCTATAATTATAATTCATTAATACATTCACATCACATCACTTTCATTTTCTTTATGAATATAACTCAATAATTTAGCAAAATAACACTATATAAATAATTTCAACAAACAAGCACACAATCTCCTATCTCTTTCTCTCTCTATTACAAATAAAATCAAGCATATACACATTAATAACAATAAAAATAATAAAAAACTCGATTCGTTCAAGCACTCAAACCTCTCTGGGATCAACAAAAATAGAACTTCCTGGCACCGATCGGGTCCAGTCCCCCACCACCACCTCATCCCCATACTCATCTGCCAACCTCTTAACACACCACACATCCTCCTCAAACGATAGTCTCTTCCAATAGGGTATCCCTTTCACCAACGGCTCGCACTCCGCCACCTCTGTCGCCACCACCCTACACCCTCCTTCCCTCGCCATATTATGTGCATTCCTACACAAAAACCTCACCATCTTCTCTGCCTGTGGTCCCTCCCCTCCAATCCCATACAAAAAATACCCTCCAAATGGCCGGAACAAATTTGGCACTGATGGTATTCTTAACCACGGAACCATGCGGTCAACAGCGCGGCTTGTCCACGCCATCCCTTTCTTCAGCCGCGCGACGCCCCGAAGCTCGAGCTGAAAAAGGGAGCTGCTGTTCCAAACGCTCAAGACGGCCCATGAGGCGGGTGGGTGGGCGAGGAAATGGTCGAGGGAGGTGTAGGAGACAGGGTGGGTTGGGTGGGCGAGGAATGTGCCCAGGGAGAGAGGGTTGTTGAGGATGGCGTCGATGTCGTTGGGGAAGAATTCAGTGGTGGAGAAGAGGTGGCGGTAGAGGGATTCGGCGAAGGAAGGGGGAAGGCGGAGGAGAGTGGTGGAGTTGGGGAGGGGGAGGGGGTGAGCGAAGACGGGGTGGACGAGGATGCGAGGGGTGCGGAATTTGGTGTAGGTTAGGTGGTGAGTGAAGAGACGGAGAGAGGCTATATTGTTCTTGTCGGTAGCCATGTATGAGTATTCGGCGTCGTTCGATCGAAACCAGTCTTCCATGCGCTTTACTAGCTTGAGACCGATGCCCATTCTCCTGCCATATATGAATATTTTTTTGTTATTATTACCATTATTTCTTCTTTTTTGAATAATTGTTTGTGATGTATTTAATAAATGGATAAGTTTTTAATGTGCAAATTAATGTTGGGACAATAATTTCTTTGCATGTTATGGTTATTATGAATTTAAGATTAAGAGTGAGTTTGGTGTTAAAAATATTTTAAACATCCGAAACTTTTTTGGTGTTTTGTTTTTCATACTGCCACCATAATTCTGTTTGGCGAACTATTTCTCGTTGATTTTTAGATTTTTTATGAAACAAAGTTGTTTTTTTTGCCCGAATTGTTAAAATGTGGTGGTTGTTGAAAATGAAATAAATTTATAATAACCACCACAATTGTCTTAAAAATAAGTTCTTCTTCAGCAACTTTTCGCTGTTGATTCTTTAAACAACTGAAGTTGCCTCAAATAGACCCTGAATTATTTATTTGAGACATTTTTTTTTTCCTTTTGAAGTTTTTCCTTGTTGATAATTTGCAAGTAAGGAGTCCTAATTGGGTATAAAATTGACTGAACCTGTCAAAACAATTGTAAGAATTACTGAAATTTCTTTGAAAACAGATGTAAAAATCGTAAGCATTAAAAAAACCAACAAATCCAATGAAAAAAAAAATATTTATATTTATGTGTATAAATTTATTGAAATCATATGTTTTAGAATAATTATATTAAAAAAAAGCCATAAAATGGAGTCCCAAAATACCGAAACCAATCAAAGCCATGAAAACTGCCGGAAACAACCAAACCAAACTTATGTGATTGGACTAAAAAGAAATCAAAACCAAACATAAATAAAATAAATTCATAATACATAAACCAAAATCCAATTAATAAATGAACAATTCACACGTACCGGTGGGACGGCAACACACGCAGACCAAGGATATAGCCTGCCTTCGTAAAAATAGGACCCGCGCCGCCGCCGGCCGCGCCGGTGGAGTTACGAGGAGCCGTCTTGCCGCACGTGATAGTCTTAACACAGCCGCGTAAAACGCCAACGATCTCCCTCTCGGCCGGCCCACAAGTTTCCGCAACCTTTCAAATTGGCCGATGAAAACAAGACCAACTCAGCTATAGAGAAAGAAGAAGACAATTCCAAAAGGAAAGTGCCGAAGAAGATGAAAGGTGGAGTATTTTCATACCAGCATGAGAAAAGCCGGCGAATTGCGGACTCTGCAGAGGGGATCGCCGAGGAGATCCATGAACAGAGATACGCCGCCGCTGGGGCTGACATCGCACAACCGGTCCACCGCTTCCGCTCCAGTTCGGTCTTGCTCCGCTTCGTATTCTCTCACCACCACCTCATACGTGTTAAAGCTCTGTACTTGCTTCATCGTCTCTGGTTTTTGATCGACCGATCGATCAAAGCTGCAATCTTTAGTTCTTTGATCGATGCTTCTTTTAATATGTGTTTAGTTAATGGAGTGTGGGAGGTGGGGGAGGGAAGTTTTTGGAGGAGTGATGAGGGAATGATTAGGTAATGGGGGCAAGGGGTATTTATACTTGCTTTATGAGTTATGGGTTTGTTATTTATGTCTTTCTTCTCTGTATCCCTCTCTTTCTCTCCCCCCTCTCTCTCTAGATTTCAATGCCGTCGTTTTCTCCTCCTCTCTCTCTCCCTCTCTCTCTCTCTCTCTCTCTAGATTTCAATGCCGTCGTTTTCTCCTCTCTCTCTCTCTCCTCTTTCCTCTGTTTCTCTCTCCGTCTAGTTTGAACTGATAAAATCATTATTCAAATCCACGTATTTGCGATGCAATAGTGGTTGAAAATGACGGGCTGTGAAGAAAAGAAGGAAAAATTATTAGTGCGTATGATTTGTAGAATGTACTTGGAATGTATGTCTCTAATTCATGGAATAAACATTGCATGTGAATTTTTGCATGCACGTCTACCACTTGGATGAGCCAAAAAAAAATAAATAAATAAAGTTTCTTGTAATCCGTTAAGGTACGCACCAAATATTTGCTCATAATTCAGATGTATGAATGTAGGTTGTATGTCATAAATGCATCAGAGCGGTCTCCAAGGAGATCCAACGGTATAGAATAGAGGAAGTACGATCACGGAGGGTCCATTTACCCAATTGAATGTAGTTGTCCTAGCTGAAGGCCCAGAGGGAAGGACAAATAAAAAAAAAAGTGGACTGAAGGATTGAGTCTTAACAAATGAGACTAGAACAAGACGGATGGGCATATGAGTTTATGACTACAAGAAAGCCGATAGAAGGCATTGAGCTACCTTCAAGTAGTTTTGACTCGAAGAAAAAATTCAAATCCTCACTAACCCTAGCCGTCCTACAGACACCCCCGACACTCCTCGCCAGCCGATAGAAGGCATTGAGCTACCTTCAAGTAGTTCTGACTCGAGGAAAAAATTCAAATCCTCACTATCCCTAGTCGTCCTACAGACAATCCCGACACTCCTCGCTAGAGACCAAAATTAGCAGCAAAACAGAGCCTCATGATCATCCTGTAGGTTCCCCTGGTCAAAGAATGAGATATATATCGGGTTATAATGATTCATCATCTACCCGATAGCCTAATTTTGCTCCGCCGACAGGAGCTCCTCATCTAGAAATCAAGGGTTGACAAGCATACTAGATTAACTAATTAATAAAGTCTAGCTGACTGAGTTCATCTTGCTTACTCTAAGGTAATCAAGATAAGTCGACCGACTACACCGACTCAGCCTAGTTGACTGAATCAACCTTATCGAGCAAAAGCCAAACAAGCTTAGCCGACCAAATCCTAGAACGACCTTGTAATAAACTCTTATATATAAAATAACCATATTATCAAGTACAACCCCCATTAAAGTCGGGGAAAAATGTAATATCACTATATTGTACCTTCTTCTCAATAAATAAAAAGATCATTTTATGAGAAAATGCTAATAAACAACATATTATATGTTCATTATTATCTTCTCTCACTACAAAAAAAAAACACTTAAACAAATGGAAAAACCAATGGTTTTTTACACGGCGAAAAAATCATTCTAATTATCGACGGTTTTGGGACTATTTTTTATCTTGATTATTTGTGACGATATAACTATAACAAAAACTGTCGCTAATCAATAATATTTTGTTTTCCAGCTTTTTTAATTATAACCAACGAAATAATCTGTCGGTTATAAGCAAATATTAACCGACTGCTATAGTTCGTCGATTATCTTCAAACACATCATCAAGCGGGGTTTTAACTAATGCATTTCATTTCCTTGGAGAGAATCAATGCATCTTAAATGCCTAATTTTACTGGTAGTTTCCTCAAATGGTCTATACCATTGTAGTCCACTTTGTTAAAAAATTCATCGGTATTTTTCATAGTTGGTCACCCTTGTACTTGCATAATTGCTTCTTCAGGCATGATCATTTGTTTTCCTTTATCTTTAAACGTGTTCTCGAATGAAAAACTTTTCCGCTGCATAAATTGGCTTCAGTTATCTCATCCAGTTTTTTTGACAGATTTGGAGTTACTTTTGTGAGTTCTTTGTCCGTCTTTTTTAAGGCTGTTTCAGAGGATCTATGGAAATTGGTGCTTCTTGTAACTTAGGTGATGTGATGTTGTCTTTAAATTCACTTTTGTTGTAGCCATTATTTTATTATTGTTGTTATCATTTTCGTGTCGCTAGACCCATCGGAATTGCGTACGATTCGAGAATTGCCTATAGGATTGAAACAAGATTAGTTTCTTTCAGAGTCGTCATTGTTAGAAATAGGCAAAATGTAACTGAAATCAATGCTCTTAGCATTAAATGATCCTTTAGAGACAGATAAAACATCTTATAGAGTCAACGAGTTGATGGCTTTCTCCCCAAAATCCGAGACAATCAATTTAGAAGGACAACATAAGTAGAAGAAATAGAAGGATCAAAAGGAATTGTAGCCCCTATGCTATGAGGGTCTTCAATCCTCTCGACTTCTCTTTCTTCATTCTTGTTATTTTCTTTTTTTTTTAGAGTGGGGGCTTTGTATACTGAGTTGACGCTAAAGCTGAAACGGCTTGCATCTTGTTGAGGATCTTCTCAATGGATTTGGACCATGAAACATTCTGCACATCTCTGTCTTTGTAGGGATCCACAGGGAAAAAAAAATCATCAACTGAGATTACGTTGATCGAACCCTTTTCGAGCGCTTTCAAGTATTTTTTTGGGATGATTATGTTTCCTGTTAAAAACTGATAGTCCAACAAGTTGTTGAAGATGAAATAATCTTTTATTTTATGTCCAAGCATCCTGTGGTAGACACAATAGTTGCATTGATCTTTCATTCTAACCTCTTCTGCCCTTTTGTCTTTGGAAAGTTTAAATTCTGGTACCTTTAACAAACAACAGAATATCTTCGTTGCGGCTTCTGTTTTGAATGGATATTTTTTGTTCATTCGCTCAACCATTATTTTTTTTCAATTCTCTTTTGGGATGATTATTGATATTACAACTATAAGGATTGTTGTCGTTGTGATGAGTCGGCATTTTATCCTTATCTGTTCTGCTCATGTTGTATCTGCATTGGTTGCTTAGTCTTCTTGAACTGTCGAGATATTCCTTGATTTGTTCTCAAAGGTCTTTGTCAGCTTTGGCTTCTCAGCCCCTTCTATTAGACTTAGTTATTTTACTTCTTCTTGGAGGCTTGCAACTATGTTGAACAACTTCGCAAATAGTTTTGTTGTGAATTACTTGAGCATAAATTTCACTGGTCCATGAATACACTTGAGAAGGATCTTGATAGTGTGTTGCTCTTGGAGCTGTGATTCACACTTCATGCTTAAGTTCCTCCATCGAAGAATGTAATTCACGATGGTTTCTCCTGGTCCTGCCTTTTGCTTTTCTACCGCTAGGTCTCCAACTATGATGTGGTGCTGAGCTCCGACGAAATGCTAGATGAAGAGGTTCCAAATCAACAAAAATTTTGACGGACCCATTAGAAACTTCGGCGTACCAATCGAAAACAACAACAGTAAGGCTGCTAACAAATTAGCAGAACATGAGAGCATCACTACCCCTGTGTTACAGCAACTTGCTCGAAAGTAGACAACATACTGACAAGGGTTTCCCAGCCCATCAAAAACCTTAAAGTGAGGTGGTACAAAGCCGGGTATTGAACGGAGTCAAATTTCTCTAAGCAGGGTCTACCACTTGGAACCAATGACCCACCCCTAATCTAGGCCATTATTTCCTTACTTTTTTTATAGTATTTTATTTATTTTATTATTTGATTTGATAAAATAAGGATTGTTGTCGTTGTGATGAGTCGGCATTTTGTCCGTATCTGTTCTGCTCATGTTGTATCTGCATTGGTTTCTTAGTCTTCTTGAACTGTCGAGATATTCCCTGATTTCTTCTCAAAGGTCTTCGTCAGCTTTGGCTTCTCAGCCCCTTCTATTAGACTTAGTTATTTTACTTCTTCTTGGAGGCTTGCAACTATGTTGAACAACTTCGCAAATAGTTTTGTTGTGAATTACTTGAGCATAAATTTCACTGGTCCAAGAATACACTTGAGAAGGATCTTGATAGTGTGTTGCTCTTGGAGCTGTGATTCACACTTCATGCTTAAGTTCCTCCATCGAAGAATGTAATTCACGGTGGTTTCTCCTGCCTTTTGCTTTTCTACCGCTAGGTCTCCAACTATGATGTGGTGCTGAGCTCCGACGAAATGCTAGATGAAGAGGTTCCAAATCAACAAAAATTTTGACGGACCCATTAGAAAGTTTGGCGTACCAATCGAAAACAACAACAGTAAGGTTGCTAACAAATTAGCAGAACATGAGAGCATCACTACCCCTGTGTTACAGCAACTTGCTCGAAAGTAGACAACATACTGACAAGGGTTTCCCAGCCCATCAAAAACCTTAAAGTGAGGTGGTACAAAGCCGGGTATTGAACGGAGTCAAATTTCTCTAAGCAGGGTCTACCACTTGGAACCAATGACCCACCCCTAATCTAGGCCATTATTTCCTTACTTTTTTTATAGTATTTTATTTATTTTATTATTTGATTTGATAAATTACTATTTAATAGCTATGTTATTTTGTTAAATGTTTGGAATTATACATTAAATGTTGTAATGATAGCCATGGTAATGTAAATACAAAAAAAAAAAAAGAATTTATTTTTTTCCTTATGATACATGTTTCCGACAGCTTAAAGTTGGTTTCACAACAGTTCCAAACTTATCCATAGGCAAAATCGACTGCTAGCCGATATACATTTCTACCAACGTCTGGCTGACACATAATCAATAGCTTAATGTGCGTCACACAAGAGCGGGCGCGACACTTTTCCGACAGTTAACCCGTCGGTTATAAAAAACGATGCTTAATCGACGATTTTCTCCTTCGTAAGAAAATCAACAAGTTTGATACTTTTTTGACAGTTAACCTGTCAGTTATAAAACGTCACATAAATGACGTATA